CGAAGTCCGGCGCTGCCTCTGCTGCTCACCAACCTAGGCAAGCTCCTGAGCCCCGCCAGTGAGGGTGGGCAGCCCCCCCCACCTTTCCTCTGAGAGGGGAAGGTGGACCGAGGCGGTGCACAAGGGCGCATGCACGGTACCCAGCCAGAGCCTGGCTCTGTCGCCCAGTACCCGCAAGAAGGCTCCAGAGTCCTTCCATGAGACAGGAAGTCCAGCGAACACACAGTGAACATTTCTGTCTTTTGATCGTTTGCACTTACAGATTTTTTTAATTCCAAAGAAGAATCTTAAGACCTACCTCATTAGTTAAGCAGAGGATTATTTTGAAACAATTATTTTTTCATGTACATTATTATAAATCTCTGCCCTGAGAGTGAAACAGAAGAGCTGCAGTTTGTAACACAGCGCTTTTCGTTTGTTTTTGTACGATGACCTTCCCAGTGGTTCCCGCTCTCGTGCTTTCTGCAAAGCTCCCTGTAGGTACTTCAGACCGGCTTCACTGCCTGTGGTGGCTGGTGGCTGGCCAGGGAGGGAACTGAGTTCCAGCTGGCCCGCCTGTTCCAGGACCTGTTTGTCAGACGGTGGCTTACCACCTTTAGTGCGTCGTGAATTTAGGGAGACCTGCATTGTTTTTAAAAAGGGACATAGAAAATATCAGCCGGTATTTCACAGACTAAAAGTATTGTTTTGGCGAAACTTTACTTTGGGGTTTTTGTGTGTGTGTATGAGTGTGTGTGTGTAATGAATTGCAACGTAAAGTGTATTTTTAACTGTGGGTTGTGGTTAGAACTTGAATCGTCTTCTTCGGGCACTAAGCTTCTTTGCAAGACTCTGACCTTCTTGAAAGTGGACATATTTTTGTTTAGCTGTTGCAGTGTCCGCCACATTAGAGCTGTCCACCAGACGTCTGATTAGAGAAAAAGAGAGAGACAAGTCAGAGAATGAGGGTTAGCCCTGGAGAGTCTTCACATAAAACCTTGTGTAGCATCTTGCCTTCCAGGAAAAGCCAAAAATGATTTCTTTCTCAGGCATTTTCATTATGCTTTGGCTCTTCGCTATATTTTGAGTTTCTGCTTTTTGTTATTTATGTAATAGCCAGTTCAGAGCACTGACATATTCATTATAGGACCGCTCCCCAAAAGGTGAGATACCTGTCAAGTGAGGTGCCACATTCTACAAGGTGGATGAGGCCAGGCGAGCCTGGAAGGGCCATACCAGAGGCGTGGAGAGAAAGGGAGAAATGGGACAGGACAGGGACAGGGACCCGAGACGCAGGCCGTGACTCAACGAAGAGGACAGATTTTCACCTGCGATTTAAGGAAGCACATTCCAAAAGTGTGTTGCTTTAATTTTAGCCACAGCATTTTACTTATTTTGAAATTTTGGTTGGCTCTCGAAGGCAGGAGCTGTCTGTCTCTCAAAAAGGAGACACAGTGGCCTACGACACTGTTTCATGTGCTTCCGGGGAAGTGTTCATTAGGCGTTACTTAAGACTGCTTGAATACTTTATGCTTATTTGGTTTAAATAAAAAGGAAATAGTAATTGCCCATTTTGTCAAGGTGCCATACAAATTAACTGAAGACGTGAAAGTACTCATTCTCATTCGTAATATATGCTCAAAGCTTTTAATTCTTAATGACACGTTTTCAAAGCTAATGGTAAATCATAACATGAAATTTTTATGTCTTTTGTAAGTTAGATTCATTAAATGCTTATTATTTTTGCATTTTTGATAGGACTAGGCCAACTGTCAAAAGATGAGTTAGCCCACAGAAAGTGACCCCTGTGCCTACTAAAAACAGCAAGGAAGACCTTTTCTCCCAGCTCACATGGCTTGAGGGAGGGTGGGGTTTCGGGTCAGACAGACAGGGCGTGAACGCCAGCACCTTGGCCGTGGCCCACGGCCTTGGGCAGCGGTCAGCCTCTGTGAGGCCATTAGGAGGGTTAAGAAGAAAGCACGTGCCACTTGCCCGGAGGATCACAGGCGTAGGAGGCATTCTCGCACAGCCCCGCAGACTCCTGGGTCACCGCAGGTGAAATGAGAGACGCGGTCACCGCTGGGCTTACCCCGCCACACACCCCCACACCCTCACCGCCCGGGCAGGGCGCCAGCCCCGCACACTCAGCACCAGCTTCTTACCGCGGTCAAGGAAGGATGACTGTTCAGGATTACATCCTGTTCACTTTTTTCGGAAGTTTTCTCATTTTTATCTGTAAAGAATTTAAAGGAATGCTGCACCTTATGAGAAAATGTGAAATTCGAACAGTCAGGACAGTAACTGGGTCACTTCCCCACATTTCAGACCCCGAAAGGCATGCCGCTGGCTTGTGTGTCGTGTGTCCTCGCATCTGCCAGTGCTTCCACCCACCCACTTCCTCAGGTCTCAGTCGCCTGCTTTGCTTCCCTTCCATGTTGGTGTCTGTTGTTTCGACAGCTCCAGTGTGAAATGATCGTTTGCCCACTGAGTTTATTGGGCTGGTTTAAAATGTGGAGGGCAGCCCCATCAGACTTCAGTTCCTCGTGTTCGCCATAAACAACGAAGCGCACATTCCCCTAAGCCACAGAGAAAGGTGACTGCGCTTTTCTTCTTCGTAGTTACTTTCCGGCCCCCTCCCACCCCTGCTCTTGCTCCTCCCCCAGAGAGCTCCCTAAAAAAACCCCACTTCTGCCCGCCCACCCTGAAGTCGTATAGTCTTCTCAGATGTCATTAAGGGGCTCCTCTTCCCTGGCGCTGTTTCTAAACCTCCCCAAGCCGGGCTGGCCATTTTCTCTCCAGGGCTCCGCTGCTCCCTGTATCCTTAGATCTGTCATAGGACTGTTACCATGACTTTGACCTTCTTTACCTCCATGCTGGTGTCTCTGCTGAAATTTGAATAAGCTTACTGGGGGCAGGAACCTCATCCCGGAGTCCTGCCTGGCTTTGTGCCCGCCAGGCCCAGCATGTGACTCGGCTCATATCAGCAGAGTAGTGGATGCTGGATGAATGAGCAATGTGTTCATCCCCAGTGTGAGGTCACAGGAAAGACAGCTGCTTACTCCTCTTCCCCGCATGTACACGCTGAAACACCTCTAGGAACGTCGGGCTTCTAGCAGTTTCTGCCTTTGCAGTGCGTCCGTCCGCCAGCAAACAGGCAAAGACTTCCCAGTGACCATTGTCAGGAGAGCAGTAAATAATGACCAGCAGCTTTACGTGGACTGTGTTCAGTCTTCTGCAGCAGCGGTCCCCAACCTTTTTAGCACCAGGGACCAGTGCTCCCGTGAGCATCTAATGCCTGATGGTCTGAGGTGGAGCCGAGGCGGTGATGCTAGCGCTGGGGAGCAGCTGCAAATACAGATGAAACTTTGCTCGCTGACTCCCCCTCTGGCCTACCCGCCACTCACCTCCTGCCGTGCGGTCTGGTTCCCAACAGGCCACAGGCTATACCGGTCTGCAGTCTGGGGTTTGGGGACTCCTGTTCTACCACACTCCTTTGTGTGTAATTGTGTGAAAACAGGGAAACGTACAAGACTGTGACTCTGACTGCGCTGGCGACAGAGCTGGGTAGCTGACTGGCCCGCGGTCGTGGAGGGAAATGGAAGGAGCATGTGGCAGCGGTTTAGCAGTGTGCATTCATTATTGTTCGAAATGAGTAACTCGTTAAAAAGCTGTTAGGGCCTCTATATTCTGAATATTTTTATCTGGAGATACATATATATATATTTCCATATGTATGAGAAATATGTTTTTGAGACAGCTTGCAAAAAATTAATAAAGTTTATCCTTCTTTTAAAGGTGTGCTATTAGTTTACAAAGGCTGCTGTATCAAAGTACCACAGATGGGTGGCTTAAATCACAGTTCTGGAGGCTGGAAGTCTTAGGATCGAGGCATTAGCGAGCTGGTTTCTTCTAAGGCCTCTCCTAGGCTGCTAGACAGCCGTCTTCTCCCTGTGTCTTTGGGTCATCTTCCCTTAGTCTGTGTCTGTGTCCGTATCTCCTCTTCTAATACGGACACCAGCCATACCGCATTTACAGTCCACCCCGAGGACCAGATTTTAACGTAACTACTTCTAAAGACCCCATCTCAAAGTACAGTCCCATTCTGAGGTCCTGGGATAAGGACTTCAACATAGGAATTTTTGAGGGTCGGGGAGGAAGGGTCACAATTCTATCTGTAACTGTGGATTTTAACTTGAATATATTTATGTAGGACAGTTCATTGACTAAGGATACTTAGAGTGTTATGTGTGAGGGCATACACATAGTACCATGCTTGTGTGTCAGATATACAGGAAGTCACCACTCTTAAGTTAGAGTTTGGTAGCCTGGATGTGGCTACTTCTCCAAGGCATCAAAAGACTCCGCCCTCCAATGAAATGTAATCTTACATTTAACAGGTAAAAATGTACAATGTTACAAAAAATAGGAAGGATGTGGTAAGTGCATGAGAAAGTGGGAGAGATGCAAACATTAGCAGCTACTCCTCCAGTTGAGAATAATTCCTTCTGAATACGGCACGTTCAAGTGCACATGAAATGCTGTATTCAGAAGGAATTTTACATATTTTAACAAACAATATTTTAATACAATGTATATTTCAGTCTTTCCCACCCATGACACAGGAAATAGCAGAATTATAAAGAGTATAGTTAGAGTTAAAAGGCTTTATCCAAAGGTTGTCTGCAACATCTTGGAAGTTTGAGCAAGTGCTCAGAAAGCCACGTCAGGTGTTTTGAAGCTGTGGTCAAGGGCAACTTGTCTTGAGTAATTGACTTCTGAAAGTGGTAAACCAAAGGCTCTGGAGAAGTACAGATTTGTACTTTATAAAAGAATTTTTTTTTTCATTAAAATATGGCTCATATACACAGGTAGAACTATTAACTTGTTATTCCCATATCTGAGTTACGAGAAATGAATTTCCCACCAAGTGTAGAAATTCCTTGTTTGAAATTTTCATCTATAATTATTGACAGAATATTTATTTTACGTCTTGTTTTGTTTTCTTCTCTCTTAACATCCAGCTCATGGTGTTTGGGATCTTCCTGTGCCTGGACGCATTTCTGTACGTGTTCACCCTGCTTCCTTTACGAGTTTTCCTGGCACTATTCAGGCTCTTCACTCTGCCTTGCTATGGCTTAAGGTGAGTATAAATAAGATTATGAACTATTTTAGATGTTTAAATCATTTTTACTACTAGTGGTTGTTAAACTAAATAATGACATGGACAGTCTTTGCAGAATAGGGATAATTCATACACTTTCATTCACAAATAATGCTGTTTGTCTTTTTGATAAATATATGTTTATATAATATTTGTACTTTGTAACGTACATTTATTTTCTGAGTGATTTTGAACCAGAACCTTGCTTTGGCCAGTAAATGAATGTTCCTGACGCAGGAAGCTACGTGTAGGAAGCGTAGAAGGGGCCAGGAGCTGAGAGAGAAGGAAGGGCCTCATCGCCACGGTGCTGCCTCGCCCTGCACCTTTACTTTCTCGAAGTCCCTTGGCCACCTGGGCATCATCTGTAAAGTGAGGGGGGCTGAGTTCTAGGCTGGGGTGCAGGAGGTATAAGAATCTCCTAAGGAGCCCTTACTGCAGGGGTTCCTCCTCCATGCCATTGAGAGTCACGGTCTTAGTGGCCTAGGGAGCCTCAGTGACTGATGACAGGTGAGTCTCCCTCTAATTTGTGAGAGGGCAGACCTGTTGAAGACCCTTGTCTGAGTGGGAGGGACCAGACAGCCTGAGGCAGCACTGGTTGGCTGGTGAGTTGTGAGCAGCTACTTGACTTCTCGAAGCTGGTTCCCCCATCAGTAGAAAGGGGATGTTGGGAGCCCAGCATCTTTTACCACAGAAATTGGGGGGTGTAAAAAGAATGCCCAGTGTAGGAGTTCCCGGCTCACAGAGGTTAGTTCCCTTCCCTTTCTTCACCAAAACTAGGAGCAGTAAAATGAAAATGCTAAGCTTACGTGAATTTTGAGGTTAGAAGAAGCTTGGACTTTAGTTTTCTTTTTCGTGTAGTTATGTCAACGTGTCTCCACTCTGTGTAGCCCACTCCCTGTACCATTATTACATAGTTCTTAGCATAGTTGCCCAAGTTACATTTCTAACATGTATCATTTTCCTAAGTACATTTTATTCCAAAAAAGCTTTAAAATGCTGAAATAATAGCGTGTGAAATGTCATTTAACTATAAAGTAGATGACTATCCCATGATATATAAAATATATAGTTATTATCCATAACTTAACCATGGAAACTGAGTTAAAAATTATTAGTCAGTATATAGAATTATGTGTTGATTTATTTTTAAAGGAAAGTTATGGAAGATTTTCTTTGAGAGTAGTAAACGAGCATATAGTTAATAATTAATAAGCACTGAGTAACATATAAAAAAGGGCCTTACTCGGTTTTAATGAAGAGGAAATCTTTCTACTATAAATTGGAAGAATTTATTGATCATGATGATCATATTGTAAAGAGTAAAAATTCTTTGCAAGATTGCTCAGAGTAAGAATTAAGATCATTCTTACATGTGATACTTTACATTCTGTAACCCCTTACTTCCTTCCAGAATGAGAGAATTATGTTATATATTTTGTTAATTACATGTTAATCAGATGGGAGAATCTTTTTAGGAATTTACCATCAGCTTTAAGACATTCAGGTACACCCCTTATGCCTTTGGGAAGGTTTTTAAGAGGCTGTATTCATAGAATCTTTTTTAAGACATTTGTAGCATGGCACTTTAATGGTGGCAAAGCCTAACCTCATATACCATTTTCTTTTCTCGCTGTTGGGAGCTCAGTAAAATCATTATTTCAGTTACCTGTTCAAAAGACCACAAAAAAATCTAATAAGACATTACTTAAATATAAATCTTCATGTGTGATTGCATGACAAGGGTGGACACTTGGACATGTAGATAAAGATAGGTGAAGCTATCTGACATAAAATAATGTCATGTAAGAATTTTCATATCTATGCTATGAACTAGACTACTCTTTAGTTATTCTTCAATCAACACTGTAAGGCAAGTTTGTGGTCTAGCCATCTTTGAGTGGCTTAAAGGCGTATCGTGTTCTCTGTGTCCACTGGCATGATGAGATCAAGCATTGAAACGATACATAACCTAAGGACTCTCCCCTGGAGTGGGTCCTTCCGTGGGTATGTGAACACACGGCGGGGGTCACTGAGTAGGTGACGGTGGGGATTTGCAATGGTTTCGAGGGCCTCTTTTTTTTTAGGCTCTTATTTGAAGACCCAGCTTCTTGTTGTACAGGCATCCAAACTGTCAATTCTGTGTGTCCCTTGTCACTTGGGAAAGCAGGGTACCACAGCAGCATTAGAGAAGTCTTTCAGTGTTCTATTCCAAAAACTAAAAGTGTTGCAGGGGGCTGTGAAGTTCTAAGTCCTCTCCTCCCGAGTGCGCTTGATCGTGAGTGGCAGGGGGTCCCTGGAGCCAGCCTTTTCTATATGTTTTAAGACTATTTTAGCACATAAAGTGAAGATGATTATTTTTGTGTATTACTTTATATTTCTCAATCTAAATTAATTTCAGTAACATTTTTAAAGTGTGTTCTATTTTCAATGTTTTTTGGCGAAAATGACACTAGAGGGCAGCCTGTCACTACATTTAAGACTCACATTAAGTTTCCGTGTGCACACAGTTCTTGCTTTTCTGCAGTTTGAATCAACTGAAAAATTATATTTTATGCTGTCGCTAATAAATATACGCTATATATAAAATATGAAATGCAGTTAAAATTATACAACAGAACTTCAGCAATTTTGAATATTCTGTGCAAGTGTAGGCTAGGTTACATAATATGATAATGCTGCCTACTGTTTGCTTCATCAAAATTGAGTAACTGGTGTTTACAGTAATGTGGGTTGCAATTTATATTTTCTTTGTCAATTTAGAAAACAATGTCTTTTTGAGCATTATTTTTAAAAGTATCAAACTTGAAATATTTGAAACTTAAAATATAATGTGAAAAATTATATCAAGAAAGCTATGGTTAATATCACATCTAACAACTTAAATACTTTAAGAATATAAAAATACATTTTATTTTTACAAAATTATTATTTAGAAATAGCCAAATTCTGCCTTCTTATAGCTTTTCTTCCAACATTCTCTATTCCCATTAAAGATTATTTGATTTGTCTCGCCTGTAGCTGTATTATGTTCCATCTTTTTCAGCAAAAGTGCTCTTTTCTTCAGTCTGACTTTCTATTTTCAAAAGGATAAGAAGACATTAAAGAGACCAGTAAAGAAGTTGACTGTATTCTTTTTTTTTTTCTGTTTTCTTGTTTTCACTCTCTTCTATTTCAGTCTTCTTTCTATTAAAAAAAAAATTACTATCTTCCTAGTCTCTTAGTTCTTTGAAATTATTACCCGTGGAGGGCGGGAAAGGACATTTGCCAAACTAATCCAGATGCTGATTAGTAACCGTTTTTTGTCTCTGCTACTGTTCGTTCAGTATCACATTCGTATAGAATAATATTATTGCCGCCTTCTCATGTTTGAGATTCGTGTCTCGCCTTCCCTTCTTGCAGAGTTACATCTGGTACAGCATTAGCGAGAGGTTTTTGAAAGCTGACGGCCTCCCGGATTTTCTGCTTTAGAGTTTATTCTTTGATCCTATTCCTAAATCTTCTCCAAACTTGCGGTGGTTTTTGGTTTTGGTTTTGGTTTTGGTTTTTGGCAGTGCGACAACTAAGTAAGTACACAAGGACCGTCTGCCTCCTGCTGAGGCTGAGAGCCGGGCGATGCTGCAGCTCTTATGGAGACCCAGCCTTCATCATGATTGCTCTGCTGGTGGGCATGTTGCCAGCTTTTGACCATTAAAATATCGTTCATTTTAAGATGTTTGCAGGGTAATTATCTTGACTCCGTAGTTGTGCGTGCGGTCTGCAGAGAACACACTGCTTCCATAAAAGGTGTCCATCTGTCCCTGGTCGTCTCGAAAATACTGAGTGAGAACTATTCCTAATGAATTAACAATCTCGAAAAATCTTTGTCTCTAGATATTTTATTATAGACCAAAGTAAGCACAACCAAATTCTTTAAATGCAAATTCAATTGTGTATTTCTTTCCTCTTTCCCAGATAGAGTAGTATCATTTTAGAAAAACATTCGAGATACTTCTTGAATTAGGGTAATTTTTTTAATGATGACATGGAAATCAGAATTAAGTTTGGTTCATTATATGAGGCATCTGTGTTTCTTGGACGAATGAAAGTATTTTTTTGTTTTTTAGAAAAGTAGACTGCTCTGTATTATGCTCAGAGAGATACCAAACATAATTTTTCCAACTTTACTTATAGAATAAGTAAAGAATTGACAATCGTATAAAGGTTTAACTTGCCTGGAATTTTTGTGACTCCTCTTTCTTCCTAAAACTTGTGACTTCATTTTCTTTTAGAATTCTCAGTCACAAAATGAAGGGAGATATAGAGAAAAATGATACTATCTGGTGCCAAGAACTGATAGTTACTTCTGAAAACTTTTAAGACATATTAGACAGTAATAAGTGTTGAGTAGGCTTAAGTAATAGATGCTAGAGTCGTTTTCTTTTACTATTAGAGTAAATGTATATGTGCAAGCCAGTTTTCTGAGATGCCATGGTTTTAGACATAACTCTTATTTGAGGCTTCTTGGACTTTTTTTAAGAGGCAATTAGTGTCTTCTTCTTTTGAGAGTTTACCTTATAAGAAAGCTTTTGTCTCCCAGAAGAATGATGAATGTAAAATGCTTGAGAGTTTCTTAACCCATTGTGTTTCCTCTCTGTGCCTTACCTCCTTCAAGATAGTTCCACCTAAGACTGAGGTAGTTCACACACACACTTGGTAGATTTTCCTCTTTTCAGACACAGGCCTTAACCTGGGCCTGGAAGGTTCACGCCACCCCCTGTGGCACAGATGGGGGGAGCACTAGGTTACTTCCCCCGGGGAAACAGGTGCGTCTGTCATTTCTTCCTACCAGGGCAGACCTGAGTGGCTGATCTGTAGAGAGCAGTATATTTGTTTGATTAGAGAGTCTTCATAACATCGAGTTGTGTTGTCCCGTTTCCTCGCCATGACGCTCTGAGTAGCGTAGCAACATTACAACCTTCTCTCTTTCTTTCTCTCTCGTGAATCAGACCGAAGGGAGGAGCACTTTCACTTCCTTTATAGAATGGAATGTGGTGTCACAGGGACTCCTTGTGGTGAGTAAAACCCTGATTTTTCCTTCTATACTCTCGGCCACATTGACATCAGTACAAACAAATTTTAATTATAATGATTAAAAAGCCCAGCGCAGGCAGACCCACCCGCCCATCCGGGGTGGACCATCCTGAGGGAGTGTGTGTGGTTTCCCACCCTCGCTCGGCGGCGAAGCTCCGTCCACGTTCACTCAGGCTTTGACCCTGATCGTGATCTCACCCGACGTGGGAAAAATCGCTCAGTAAACAATCTTCACGCACACGTGTCGGTCCAGACTTCGCAGCAGCCACTTTGTCCCGAACGCCACAGCAGTCAGTTGAGCTTCGTCCCTTCCACATGCGCAGTTTTTATTTTGCATCGCTCTAAACACCCAGCGTAGCTTTATCAAGCCAGTTACTTTTTTTTCTAATATGGTTTGAAATTATTTTAAAGCCCAAGGAAAACTCTAATCATTCAGTTTAAACACTTAGTAATTATTTTTTTATCATATGTCATGAAAACTTAAGATTTAAAATTTTCAATTTTCTAATTAAGGAAAACATCTTAATCTCAATACTTTATTCCAGTTAACTTTAAAATTATAAAGAGACTTCTCTTTGAATAATTGTAACCATATTTAACATTTTACTTTTTTTTATTTCAGTAATTTTTATATTTCTTCATTCTTTCCATGATACCACAAATAGTTTAAAATGTGAAAGGAGGTAGAGAGAGAGAAAGATCCAGCCTGTGTGTTTTATAATGAAATGTCATACTGATACCTTGGCATGTTTCAACACCAATTTGAAAATGAACTAGGCAGGGTCTTACCCCATTTCTCTTGAGCTCATTTGTGTTGTCTCTTCTTCCTTCTTGATCTTTCTGTCCAAGACTAGTTTTTACTTTAATCTTAGCATACTATCTTCCTCTAAAGAGAGGGAGGAAAAAGCTTACCCTTGATCTTCTATACCTGCTATATTGTTCTGTTCCCATGCATTTGTGAGCCCTCTGAAACAGGAACGCTTCAGTCGGTGATTGTACAAATCCAATGGAAAGATTTGAATGAGTAAAAGATAAAATTTAGAAATGTAGAAAGTTTGGGTTCTGGAAGACTGCTTTAACTTGAAATTTTTTTTAAATTCTGAGTTCTGGTGAATACCTTGTTTAGTATGACTTGTCTTGCAGTGACTCATAGCCAGCCTATAAATTAGATTAGTGTGTTTTTCAGTAAGTGTGCAACAGCTTACTCCACTTATTTATGCCTTCGTATGGGGTTTTCAGCATTAGCGAAATGAATTTCCAGTAACTGCTGTTTACCAGGTATTTATAAGGAAGAACTTTGGCCTGAATGTATTGTTCAAAAGCCAATTTAGAGTTGATTAGCAGGGCTGTGGATTAGCTTCTTCTGGAGTTGGAAATGCTTATCAGATTGTCATCTAAAAATATCCTAGCAGGGGAGAAAACAAATACTGGGACTGGTTCAAGATGTTATAAACCAGGTGAACGTGTTTTGAGGTTAGGCGTTTACTCAGAGAGCCTATGGCACATACAGATGTCTTTTAAAATGCCAACTTACAAACAATTTTATTTTTTTAATCTTTTCATTCACAGGTACATTTATATGAAAACATGACCTTTGTTTCTTAAGAGTTCTGCTTCCTTTATTTTTTATTTGAATAATACTCTGTAGCAACCAGCTGTGATGGAAGATTTTCACCGGAGTAGGGAGTGCATGGAAAGCAGTGGACTCAGTGGTCCATTGTCCTGTGTTTTCTCTTTTTAGAAATAAAGAGCCAAGATAATAAATATGTTTGTTTTTTAGCACAATAATTTTTCCAAATAGATAATATGGTGATACAGAATATTAAATTATGCTGAAAGATAAAAGGTACTGAGTTGATTCCTGTAAGTTTAAATTCCTTTTAAAGAAAGGTCGGAAGTGCGGGACGGTCGTGAAGAGCCTGCCTTCTGGAGCCAGGCTGCCAAGTTCACGCCCTGCCCCAGCCCTTACTGCGTCAGCTGCCCGGCTGCAGGCGCCTGTGACCGCTCTTTGCCCCATCTGTAAAATGCGATGGCGATAGTACCCTCCTCACAGGATTATTGTGAGAACTAAACTGGCTGTAGGCAAAGCACTTAGAATGGTACCTATCACCTAGTGACTGGATTGTAGCATAAGGTGTTTACACAGTTTTCTGTTGTTTGTACAACTTGGTTTAATCCTAGGCAAGATAAAGTTCACTGAAATTGTTTATGCTTAATTTAAAAGTTTTAATTATCATCTTGGTTCAAAATGCATGCTATTGTGTTATTTTGGGATATAGATTTCCTGTGTTTGGTAGCTCTAATTTCTAACAGTGATTGTGTTATATATAATAGTTCTTTATAGATTTACTGATGCATTGGTCCTTTGCTGCAAGTGTTTATAAAGAAACACAATTGATATGTACATTAAATAGCCCTTTATCTCTTATAAAATTGCTTTGACTGAGATCCCTTAACTAAGTAGATGCCAATCTAGTACCAAAAGCTCTGAGTATGATTTTCTACTTTAGTTAGTTATCAAGGTCATTTTGGTAACTAATGCAGATTCATGCATTCCACCTTACTTTTCGTTCCTGTTATTTTCTTTCATTCATAAAACACGACCTATAGTTCCTAAACACAGAGGCCTACAACTATTGGTGATTTGCGACTTTGAGCATATGCCCTGCTGCGCTCCCACTTCGGAGGAGGAGGTGGGTGGCGTGCTCCACGCTGACGCCTCGTTTGCCCCTTGGCTGTCGCAGAAGAGACAGTTACACGTGGGCCAGGAGTCCAGGAGTGTTCAAGATGTCTCGTCCTCTCATCGCTTGACTTAAAAGTGTATTTAGCTCCAACCCTCGACAATTGTAATCCCCCTTCCGTTTTTAATCCTGTGGGGGTGAGGGCAGAGAATTGCCCTTGGCAGAGATCTGTGTTCTGGGCTAGATGTTTGGAGATGAGCGATGACCTCACTGTGGGTTGCATGAGGACAAAGGGCAGAGTCTGCCTGGAGAGAGGGACAGCACTGGAGAAAAAGGGACAGAGAATGATGACAGATTGATTGGCTTTGTCCTTGATGCAATTTTGCCCCAAACTTCACCTGCTAAGAGTAATTTCACTCAACTTATGAGACAAATTCTTATGAGACATGTCATCTGAGACAAATTCTGACTCTTCTGCCTCTCTAGGCTCATTGGTTCAGCCCAGTGTCTCCCCATCTACTTCTAGCCCTGCCGGGACAGTCTTCACAGAACTTGCCCCTTTCTAGGACTTGTGCACCATCCCATATTCTCCCTGAGCAGATGAGATTCATTCATGACTGAAAACCACGTGCAGTGTGCCCCGTAGAAAATCAGAAAGAGCTTCTGTTTGAGCTGCTCTCAGAGTCGGTGGTGCCTGCATTGTCGTTACCTCGTGAAACAATCTTCTGCCAACCCCTGGAAGACGCAGATTCCTTGTGGAGCTCCACAAGGACATTTGGAGACTGACCTCACGGTGGACGAGGGTTCGGAAGGGGCTCCAGAGAATAGGTAGCTGGAGACACCGGACCCAGCGAGTACATAGCTCCGACGGTCTCCAAGGGCTGAGCTCACCGTCAGGGAGGTGTCAGCATGTTGTCGCTGTGGGTAGAAGGGAGATTCTGCAGCTCCTCAGGAAAGTGTTCAGGGCCTTTGGTCCATGGTGCTGAACGTCGAAGCTGCCACGACGGGGCTGAGCATTTTCTGTCTCGAGGCATCAGCCTGCAGCAGACGCAGAGAAAGCTGCTTTCCCATTCTCAGGAGTTTATATCCGGTGAAAGAAACCCTAAGTGTCTTCTTTCCTAATATATTTTTTGCTGTGTCTCAGTAAGATGTTTCCATTCATAATTTAGGTTTAGCTTTTCATACTCTGACCTCAAGTAAGGCACGATTCTGCTCATATTATTAGGAAAAAAACTATTTCGTCTCCTGTCACAGAGGGCTAATTTCTATAATATAAAAGCTATCCTACAAACCAATAAGAAAAAGATGTAAGGAGAGAATTCGCAGAAAACATAAATAGCTTAAATACGTTAAGAAGACATCAGTTCTGCTAATGAGAGAAATTAACATTGAAACTATACTACATACCATTTTTCACCACTGGGATTGGCACAGAGCCAGGAGTTGATCAAACACTGAATCGATGCACAGGGGCTGCCAGCTCTCTCGTGTGCTTCTGGCTGTCGTGTAAGCTGGTACAACCCCCGTGGAGGGCAGTTCCGCTGCTTCCACCAAAATGTCATGAATTCTAGTTTTGGAATTTTTTCTACAAATACACTTTCCCATATGAGGCGTGACATATGTATTGCATCGTGGTTTGTAGTTTCAAGAGACTGGAAATCTGTCCGTGATACGTTAAATTACAGTGCATCCACACAGGGGGACATCACACTACCATAGTAACATGGGCTTTAGAACCGATATGGAAAAATACATTATGCCACTAAGTAAACAGGACAAAGTACAGAACAACGTGCATGAGATGCAAACATTGTGTTAAAAAGGCTGATCCAGCCGGCCTCTGGGCTTCACGAGGCGGTTACAGGCTTATGTCACAGTCTTACATGCCCATTGCTTTAAAGTTCTCTATCCGCAGACACCTGCCCTCTGTGCTCACTTGTCAAAGTTGCCCATTTCTTTCTTTTATTATTATTATTATTATTTATGTCTACAGCACCGGTTAATGAAATCCAGTAAGTTTCAGCTGCACACTTTAACAGTAAGGCATATATATTAAATAAAGTCTTCAATAATCCTTCTAAGAGTAAACACTTTCTATCACCCTTATTTTTAGGGGCTTTTGCTGCACTGCTTAGATCCTTTTACTAGATCTATCATCTTCTCACTCATGGGCTTCACGAGGCGGTTACAGGCTTATGTCACAGTCTTGGATGCCCATTGCTTTAAACTTCTCTGTCCGCAGACATCTGCCCTCTGTGCTCACTTGTCAAGGTTGCCCATTTCTTTCTTTTTATTATTATTATTATTATTATTATTATGCAACCCTTAGTTGACCTCACAGATTGCAAGGACCTTGTCCGCTTACAATCCCTTATTTATTTATTTATTTTTTTAATACCTACAGCACCTGGTCTTCCTTATGTCTACAGCACCTGGTCTTCCTAGGTGGTCTCCCATCCAAGTACTAACCAGGCCTGACCCTGCTTAGCTTCCAAGATCAGACATCGGGCTTGTACAGGGTGGCATGGCCGTAGACCATGGATCGTGGCTCCACTGGGGCGCGAACCCAGGACCTTCTGCATGTAAAGCAGACGTGCTAACCGCTACACTATGGAACCACGTCCAGGTTGCCCATTTCTAATAGTAATTCTGGTTTAACATCTTTATATTCTGTACTTGGGCAGAAAATTTCACACTGTTGAGTACTCAGTTATATGACATTTTTTGTTAGTTTGAAGTTTTTAAAAGATTGACCCAATTTTCATTGCCTTTGTATGCCAGCATATGTCTAATAAAGATTATTTCAAGAATTTATAAAGTAAAACTCATATTTTTATTACTTATATGTTGCAGAGACAGACGCTTACTTCAGCCTGCCCAGGTGTGTGACATTTTGAAGGGTGTCATTTTGGTCATGTGCTATTTTATGATGCACTATGTCGACTACTCCATGATGTATCACCTGATCAGGGGGCAGTCAGTCATCAAGCTCTACATCATCTACAACATGCTGGAGGTGAGCAGGACCCCCCTGTACCTGCCCGCTCAGTCCAGCCCCCACCCGCACGGGCTTGCTGTACAGAGTGCTTTCCTGCCAGCTCTACTCAGGGTGCTTCCGGCCTTCTGTGTCTGCCCAGTCACGTGGGGACCTTGTTAATGCAGATTCTGGTATAGTAGGTCTGGGCTTTCTAACGACCTGGTGCCTGTGCTGCTGGTCCTGGACACTCAGGGTAGCAGGTCAGGGCATGGTCTTCAAGTAGGGAAGAAGGATTCCTGCTACCGAGGCATCAGTGCCCTTGAGAATGCATGTGAATTGTCAATTGGTAGAGAAGTTTGCTTTGCAAACTCATTGGAAAACCATGTCTACTTTTTGTTAGAACGTTAAAAATTATGAAGAAAATGTTAGAATTATATATATGTTTGCTATAATTTATATTTTAAATTGCTTTGACATTTTTATAGAGAGCAAGTAAAAATGTTTCCTAATTTCTCCAAGTATTTACAGTTTTAATATATCTCACTTTAAAAAAGTCAGGATGTGAAAATCTGTATTTATATATATATTAGCAAAGCAAAACAGTGTTTTCTTTATAAGCAGAATCTTAAGTTTTTCAAATAGTAAGCTACCCTACATTATATAATAAATTTTTGAGATTCAAATTGCATTTTTTAATACTACTTTAAAGGAGCATAAGTAAGGACCGCCTATCTTAAATTAGCCAAGAAGGAATTTCTCCTAATGAGTACACAGATAGGGCGATGTGGGGGCTGCTGGCCTTTCTGCTGGAGGCTGCACTCTTGTGGTCCACGAGAGCCTCCCTTCACATCTTGGTTATTCCTAAATTCACTGACTGAGGTGATTTCAAACCACCCCCAGCTTCCCTGTTCTAGGCTCGATGCTGTGCGTTTGCTTTGCCCCCTCAGGTAGGATGCAGACGGTGGCTGTGGGTGAAGTTTGTGAAGCAGCAGGCCATCCTGCTCTCCCCTCCCTGTCTCAGAAAGAGGGGCCTGGCCATCTCCCCTCCTTCTGCTGGTCAGGTGGCTCTTGGTGCCAGTGCCCTGCCTTCGCTCTGGGCTGTTACAGGTGACAAGGGCTTCTCCCTACTCCCAAACTGGACCTGGATGCCTCCTGATTTGCAAAGCCCTCTACAAAGTGGTATTATTACTATTATTAGGAAATAGGTCAAGAAAAAGGGTTATGAACTGCTGATCAAAAGATCAAATGGTATTAATACTTAAATTGTGGACTCACTTTGACGATGTGGTTTAAGCATAGCAGCCAAGATGTGCCCAGGCTCTGGTCCAGAGAGGAACCGCCTCCAGTCCTGGTTACCCCGCACACGGCGCTGGTCATCAGATGTCTCTGATCTTCAACTTCTCGTCTGTAAAGTGCAAATTCAAGGGGAATTGTGAGGATTGAGTCAGACAGCCCATGGAGAGGGCTTAGCGCAGCGCCAGGCGTGGGGCCGAGCTCCTGCGTGGTAGCCGCCTCCTCTCAGCAGACCTCGAACTCACATTTCTTGTGTGCCACGCACTGTCTGAGACCTGAGCATGCAGAGGTGAACAAAGCCTGGTCTCACGGAGCTTGTATCCTGCAGGTGGGAGATGTTAGGAAACGGTACATGCCGTGATGAGAAAGAGCAGAGACTGTGGGCGCCGCGGGAGACCAGAGCGCCCGGGACGGCCTTCTCCTGCGATGTGCCGTTAAGGCTGGACCCACGATGATATGGCCTCCTCCTTCTTTTTTATGGGCTTCTCTTTATTTATCAAACTCTATTTGTGGAGATCAGTACCTGAAAATGTCTTTAGGAAGTAACTCTGCACATTATATTCTATATAATAAGCCTCAAACAAGTTACAGCTCCTGTTGTTTACAGTGCTATGAATAGAGTGAGTCAAATGATATAGTTGTTCTAAAGAATTTAAGTTTAAATCCTGAATTTGAATTCATAGAGTTAAAACCAGAGGGACGATGATTTTGATGTATCTTCTCCCTTTTATTTTCGCCAGCACGTAAGACTCTTCTTGATACAAATATAGCTAATTAGACAAAGACTCATCAAATAAAACGAGAATTTGAGCGCTCACTGTGTCAGGGAATAAAGACACATCAGGGAATAGGTAAACCAAGACCCTGCTTGGAGCTTACTTTCCAGGGATTTAGAAAGTCAGATCTCTAGCATTCGAGTCGCTTCTGAATTTTAGTAACATATTTAAATGGAATATTAAGAAACACCTTTCCAATAATTTTTCTCTTTAGGTAGCAGATCGTCTCTTTTCATCATTTGGTCAAGATATATTAGACGCTCTCTACTGGACAGCAACGGAGCCTAAAGAAAGAAAAAGAGCCCACATCGGGGTGATCCCTCATTTCCTCATGGCCGTCCTCTACGTCTGTATCCTTTCAGTCTTAACGGAGATTCCGGCAGTCAGTGCATGTTCCACAGCATCTCATGCGGTTCGCTGTCTCTCACATTTAAAGATGTGTGTGCGCGTGTGTCCTGGACACAAACGCAAAATGTCTGCTTCCCTTTGGGAAATGAGTTGTAACGGTAATCGCGAAGCAATTTAAGGAGCCTCGTTTATGCATGTTCCTTTGAACTGCTAAGAAAAAACCGTTCTGTGCTCAGTGTAACTGACGATGTGGAAGGATTTTTGATTGAAAGGACAGTGTTTATACATACGTCACATTTGTATGGATTTATGTAACTGTTTTATACTTACATAGGAATGTTTTTCAAGGTATCTGTAAGCCCATGAATTATTCTACTTCTATATACAGTGCATATAGAAGTAAAATTTAAAATTGGAGGAATTTGGGAGGTTTAATTCTCCTCCTGCACCCCCACCTTAAAGTGTTTCTTTTAGAGAGTAAAGACTTTATTTTTTACATATGTGTGTGTGTGTGTGTATATATATATATATATACATATATATATATGTTAATATACATAAGTATATATTATATGTAATACATTGTGTGTGTACCATTCATTTATAGTTACGCACACATGCATACCTACCCTGAAGTTCCACATGGGTCAGAACTCATTCACAGGAATGTGTCATGTGATTTTTTTCATACTGTCTCTGAAACAGTGATATTTAAAAGAATTGGCTTAATACTTGGAAAGTTAAGGGTCTAAGTGGGAAGATTTCTGTGAGAGTAAAAGCTTATTCCAAGTGTAATGGGATAAAACAGTTACTGTTCTGATTTAAATAAGCCGTTCTGTATGCAATATGAATATAATTCTGTAACTGTGTCATCTTAAAAAATGACGTTTATCAGACATTTCTTACTGTTTCATATTCCCCATCCCCTGAAGAGCTATAGAAGATCACTTCCAGATGAACTTTTACTTGGTATTCATTTTTATTTTAGAAAGCAAATTATATTAATTCAGAATGTATATTGATAAGTGTCTTCTTTCAATATATGCCATAACTTATTCAGTTTATTTAACAAAAATTTTAAGGGCCTGTTTCCCAAGTATTGTGCCAAATGCCAGAAATGCCAAAGACCTAGGAAGACCAAATTGGTCGTGTTCCAAGATTCACCATCTAAGTAGATGGATGCACAGAGGTTTATTTCTGCTTTGTTTGGTTCATACAGATAGTGTGCATCTTGATCCTGTCAAATTTATATCCACTAAGGCAACAGAGAAATTACAAAGATAATAAAATACGTAAGACTTGATTTAGAAAACAGTTATCTTTTTTCTGTTATTCATTTTGAAAATTGTATTATCTGTAGTATTATCTGTCAATATAATAATATGAAAAAAGACTTAAGTTTTTTTCCTTGACATCACTTACTGCTAGTTTTGCATGCAATTCTTATAATGGTTCAAGCAACAACTCTCAATGTAGCTTTTAATTCACACAACAAGTCACTGCTTACTATCATGATGTCTAATAATGTAAGTATGAGATTTTTATTGTACATTTTTGAGATTATACGGGCACTTTAACAGCAGTAATTCTGGATGGGATAAATTATTTTTTCTAAATGTTATTTATTCTTCAGGTAATTTTATATGTACTGTGTTCATTTTTAAAAGCAAACGTTTATAAAGATTCTATTTCTGTTTACTATTTCAGTTTGTTGAAATTAAAGGAAGTGTTTTCAAGAAGTTTGAAAAGAACAATCTTTTTCAAATGTCTAATAGTGGTATGTACAATTAGATTCTACCTGCAGCTTTGTGCAGTATTATTTCGCAATGTATTCTGAAACTCGATTGTCACATTTTCTGTGGGGCTCTGTTTGGCTTAAGCTGTGCTTTCTCTTACTCTCTCAACATCTTGACTGAGTTTGCATATCATCCTGGTTAATCCTGGTTATATTGCATTCTCAGAATGTTTAACATAATAAAAAATTGCAAACATTTATATAGTACCTTACTGTACTTTCCAAAACTTCTCATGAATCCAGAAATTTCTGTGTAGCAGATGATATTCCATTTTGTAGATGTGGAAACTAAAACACACAGAAAGTAATTTGACTTTGCCAAGGTCACTAAGCTACTGAGAGCAGCATTGTGACAGCTCAGACCCCTCATGAAGAAGGGCTGAGAGCTGAGCCACCCTGAAAAAGAAAGCACTGCATCTGACTGGAAAAAAAATGTAGGGAAGACACGTGGAAGATGCCAGCTCGCTAACAGACCACGGTTTAGCTGTCCAGTGAAAGCCCAAGTCATTTGCTGTAGAGTAACAGGGAAAGGTGGGAATAAGAAAAGAGAAGCCAAGACCATTTGAGAAGGGCTTAAAGGTGAAGTAGAACTTGCAGAGGGCCCTAGGGGTTCCCACAGTGGGAGGGCAAGGTGGGAAACGATAGCAGAACACGCACAGGCTATGGGATGACTTCCTGTATGTGATGGCTTCTGGCCCCAGCCCCCAGCGCTGCTCACACACACCCCGATGTGCCAGGCTCCCTGCAGGAACACACTTACTCTGTTTCCTTTCTCGATTACGTAGTCTCTTAGACTGTAATGAGAAAATAGCTTAGAAAGTGAAATGTATAAACCAGCTTTTAGCAGAAATTTACTTATTTGCTTATATTTAAATTCATTCAGACTAGGCTGAGAGTACTTACTAACTTACGATAAAAATATAATTATGAAACCTATTGTGGGGATTGTTTTTTCTCCCATATGCTATTTTACTAACACTCCCTTAACTAAAGGATTCATCAGGTCGGTGCTTACGCACTTACTGTTTACCAGATCGAAAATAGTCTGGAATACAGGGGTTTTGTATTATTACGTATTTTACTCTCTGCTTCTATTTCTCCTTCTTCTATAAAATGAAGACAGTTGTCATAGATCCCTTAAGACCATCGGGAGACTCTGACTCGATCTGAGCAGACTGATGTTTTGAATATTTTTTGAAGTTTGTAGAAAACTAATTTCCAAACTAGAATTTATGTCGGCAAAAGAAATGTCTTACAAATGTAGCGCCATTCTGTATATGAAATAGTGTATTATTTTACAGACTTTTCTGCATAACATAGTAGTTTTATCATGTTCTGACTAAAAGAAAATTGTTTTACATATGCACTACATTATTTATACGCACTATAGTATTTATATGTTAATTTTTTTCAGATATTAAGGAACGATTCACAAATTATGTGCTTTTGCTAATAGTGTGTCTGAGAAACATGGAACAGTTTTCTTGGAATCCAGGTAAGTAACTTTTAACAAATACAGTGGCCTCTGATTTTACTTTTGAACCAAAAATCATTCTTCTACATGGAATAAAATGAGTATTGCAGGAAACTTTAAAGCCTTCTAGCCGTTCCACTCTTCGGGTGTTAGAAAAACCCGTGTCTGTAGAACGGATTGAGTGTATCCCCTGTGGTGCGGCAGGATGTCACACGGTGTGCCCATCACATCCCTCGAACCACAGTGTCCCTAGAGCTGTGTACTCTAGGCGAGCAGACGCTGCTCAGCGCGGCAGCTTCTGCGCCTCTGTGTCTTAACTGTGGAGGGCTGTGCCTCCCGAAATACAGCCTGATTCTTTTTCATTTTAGGGGTGCACCAGAACTTTCGCTCTTTCCCAACATTGCTCTTTTGCTTATTCACTGCCTGTTAATTATCATTCTCAATAAGGGTAAATTCCAGAAATATAATATAAAGCAGTAAGTGGTTACGTGTCTACGTCTCTGCATTAGGGCTGACAGGACTTATTCGCTGCCTGTTAATTATTCTAAATAAGGGTAAATTCCAGAAATATAATATAAAGCATAAGTAGTTACGTGTCTACGTCTCTGCATTAGGGCTGACAGGAAGTTGTCACTGTTCCATGACTTCACCGTTGGGTGGCCAGCCGTCACTGGGCGTGTGTGCCATGTGGCACGGGAGGGAGGTGCTGGGTCACGTTAGGAGCCACAGGCTTCTAGAGGGAATTCCCAGGGGAGTGCAGCCCAGTGCGGCAATGCCGAAGGGAGCTTGCGGGGAACCATCGAGCTCAGGCACCTCAAGTCACATTTGTGTACAACTTTGTCCTTAAGAAACGAGATCACGTTTTGCATTTTATTTGTTACCCCCACGCCATGCATGTCATCGGCATTTAATAACTTCTCGTTAATTTATTTTGTTGCTAGTTTTTAAGTACTTGTGAAAAATCAGATGTAGGTATAAAATGAGAGGTACGAAATATTCTTGGGAAATATATTTCCAGAAGTTACTTTCTTGTAGAAACCATAAAATCAAATGGTGTATCTTCCAGTGGCTTGAGTTCTGATCTGAATAGACCCAATAGCTGCGTGACCTGTGGAGGCAAAGTCCCTGCTCCACACCACCCAGGTGCTCTGTGGTCTTGGGTTCGCGGTGTATAACTACGTCAGGTAACAGGGTGGCCACGGGAGGCAGAGTCGTGGCTGGTCCCAGAGGAGCCCACATGGGATCAGTAATTCCGAAACAGGGTTGTTGTCCCAAAGGACACTGTTCCCTAAGCCCACTGACAACTGGGTGTTTGAAGGCTTACTCTCATTGGTACTTACTTGGCTTTAAACAGATTATCTTAAGTATTTGTTATCATTATCGTGGTGGAGTATGGTAAAAGAAACATTTCTTGTTGGTGAATTTTTTATTCTTTTATTTTTTTAGTTTTTTTATTTTAACCTTTTTTTTTTTTTTTCCCAAATTAAAGTACCGTTTATGGATGCTTGTCCTAAATTCCCAAAATTATGAATAACAAAAATAGTACCAGCTCTTTTGTGTGCCAGGCACACTGCTATACATTTTACATCATTATCTTATTTAATTCTCATAATGGTGAAGTATAGATACTTTTGTAGATAAGAAAACTGGAACTTAGATCATTAAGAAACTTGCCCAAGGTCATATAGCCAGTTAGGGGCAGAGCTTGTGTTCAGAGTGGTTCCCTTATTCCCGAAACCTCAACCTGATGTCACACTCACGAAAACTGCGTTGTCAGGTGTCCAGCCCCAGCTGCAGTTTCCCACCCCAGGTCCTGAGCTGCCATAGGTTGTCGTCCACATTTCCAGTTTTCTTCTTGTTCTGTCCATTTTTATATCCTTCTCCAAGGTCTTAGGAGGTTATCCGTTTGCGTTTTTTATCAGGCATTTGGTACTGCACTAACGTTTTAATAAAATGTACAGGTGAGCAAATTTGACAGATTACATCTGTATGATGGAAATAACTATATCTTTGCTGTAGTGATCAAAGAGAGAAAAAAGTGTTCAGATGACTTAAGCAGTTTCCCTACTACTATTTACTGTCACACTGAGGCAGCTGTAGAGTTCAAGGATTTTCTAACAACCCTGCTTCATTAGTCATTCCACCTGGAGTCCCATGTTGGCTCCAGGAAGAGAGGCACTGTCCACCTCTGTGTCTTCCCCTCAAATAGAGCGTGTCACAGAGAAAACAGAGGATAAATATTTGTAGAATGAATTATCCTTTAACTTGGTAAAATATGTCTCCTTTGATAATTAATTGAATGCTCGTTCTCTGTTATCATTTACTGCAAATATTATAGTCTTGCCTTGTGGATTTCAGAGTTCTGTGGTACCCCGTGGTATTATGAATTCTGTTTCTATTAAGTGATTTAATTGTCTCTCTTTTCCCATACTTTATAGATCATCTCTGGGTGTTATTTCCAGATGTTTGTATGGTGATCGCATCAGAAATTGCTGTGGATATTGTAAAACATGCCTTTATCACCAAGTTCAATGACATTACTGCAGATGTATGTATTAAAAGCAATTCAGTGTTTGATGTTGACTTACGATACTTAATGTTATAAATCTGTAGAGTAACAAGTTTAGGCTTATTGCATTTATGAAGGTAATAGAGTACTATTTCTTTAAAGTTAGAATTATAATTCTAAATTTCTAAAAATTATTACATTACTGGAAGTATAATATTTCATTTTTAAACAGTTCTGGGTCCACACTTCTGGGTGGAGGTATAGATTTGACTAGTAGTTGAGGTCAGAGTTTCACTAACTCACAATTCGTATAAACTGTTAATGCTATCATCATCTGTTTATGTAAACTTTTAAAAATCACATTGTTTCTATTTAAAACAGACTATCAAAACTTTTCTCTCTGGCTAGATTTTTAAGTACTGTAAAGTTAAAATTTGATTTTTCTCTGAGATTATGAATAGGTCTGATAAGTTTTAGAAGACAGGAGCTTTATTTTTTCTGGTGAGAGTTTGATGAAACTGAGAAATTTGTTTAATATTATAAGCACACATTCTGTAGAATTTCCAGAAATAGACACATGACTACAGGCTCGCGTGTGAGATGTAAGCGAGTTTTCTAGTACATTCCTCATTCCTTCATCAGAACAGTAATTTCAGCAGTTTTCTAGATTTTATTTGGGTTTTGCTTTGTCTTGCTCTTCTACTGATTTAAAATCAAAAGCAGGTTCAACTGCTACAATATGATGATTACGAATTTCTGAATGCTTTAATATACTTGAATAAATTATAATTCTACACTTTTTTGTAAAGCACTGATAAACTAATTTCACCATTTAGTCTCTTGGCTTCCTCAATGCAGAATGATTCCTTTGTATGGCATAATTTAATCTGCATTTGAAGTCAAAATTGAGGCTGTTTTACCCTGTTGCAGGAAAACAGAGAAACACCACCCAAATGTCTCCTTGGGTATTAAGACCTTTCTCTGGTTAATTGTTAAACATTTTCATCTACAAAGTATAAGTCTTTCCACATTATTTATTTGCACTATATTACTTAATATTGCATTCTTATTTGTTTTTAGGTCTACAGTGAATACAGAGCCAGCCTTGCTTTTGACCTCGTTAGCAGTCGGCAGAAAAATGTGAGCATTACATCAAAGGCATAATCTGAAATTAACTGACGGTGGTTTAATTTAGGACAGAGTATTATTTAAGGGAAAGCTGCATAAACTTCATACTTATCTCTGTTCTTGACACTAAACGTTTAAAAATTAATAAAAATAATACTAACACTTACCTAAATAGGGTATAATTTTTACGTCATTGTAACAGTTATGCAACTTTGTTTAAAACTTCTTATGACTATTTAGGTTTCCACATCATTTTACTAAATGACGTAATAGGATGCCAGGCTCTATTCTTGCTCCAAACCTCACCTCTTTAGAAGGTATGCTGATGACGAGTGAATAGTACTATTATAAATGCCGTTTAAATCCCATAAATCTTTTTCTGCTTCCCCTGTCTAGGCCTATACCGATTACAGTGACTCTGTGGCACGGAGGATGGGCTTCATCCCTCTCCCACTAGCTGTTTTAGTAAGTCCGTACCTGCTGCTTTTTTTAATGATTCGATAGCCATCATTATAGAATCTTAATAAATGGATTATCAATAAGTTTGTTTCAGAAGGACTTGATATAAAAATGAGAAGTAAATGACTTGGAAGGAAATTTTGTTTTAAATTATGGCATTATCCTTTTGGAATTTGAGCCATCCAATAGATAAGTGATATTAAGGAACTTTTTATGTAACGGCTTGTCTAATAATGAGGATACTCTTTTGCTTATTCATTTAGCAAAGATTTTTTTTTTAATGGAAATACCTGGCAGTAAACATTGCCGTGAGCACTGTAACACATATTGGTACAAGTATAAGTTGATCTAGTTCTAACAGGCAGTATGATAGTATTATGGAGCAATTTTAGTTTTAGGAATTTATCCTGAAGAAATAGTTATAAGAGGCACATGAAGATTTATAGGCCAGGTTATACATTACAGTGACATTTATAGTAGTAAAAATTTGGAAACATGAAGTAGGTTAAAAAAATTATCATATGCTCAAATGAAGAAATATTCTGTATTCGTTTTGCAAAGGTTTTACAATGAAAATTTCTACACTTCAGGAAACATATGCATATATATTTTAAATAATAGCACCAAAATTTACTAAATCAACTAAAAACAAAGTCATCAACTTTCAAATTCTTAGTGAATCGCTCAGAAGAGCCTTGTAAGCAGTTACTAGCCGTGTCAAGCTGTACTAGTGTTCATTAAGAGGGCTTGCTGGCTGCACTTGCATTCGATTATATTCCGTACTGGCTGCCTGTTCTCACATCTGCACAGACGCAGCCCTCTCTGTGCCAGAGGTCATCCAGAGTGCTGCTCCCTTAAGCCAAGCCTCGTGGAAATCAACCAAGAGGCGGATAAAGGAGTCATCAGTCGTACCGACTGTATTTCAGACCAGCTTGCCTGACTTTTTTTGAGGGTAGATGATTAATAGATTTAATGTTATTTAAATTTCAGTGTGACTCCCCAGATAACCACATCCTAAATGTTTTCAATTATATTAGTAGTTTATTATATAATGTAGCTTTCTTTTGCTTGGGAAAAGGAACTCCTAGAATTTTGGGAAAATGGAGGATTCTAAAGAGTAAAATAATTGTTTATTTAAGGTTTAAGAGATTGATAAAATAGAACATTGACTTTTTCTTCATTTGTTTTCTACAACTAGAATCATGATACACATCATACAGTGTGAGGATAAACCTACATAGCCTGATTTTTGTTTAAAAGGATCGGTTAGATGATTGGATTTAAATGTGGCCCTGCTTTGCCAAATAATAAATGTCTAGTAACTTATTTGCCAGAAAACTCTATTTATGTTTAGTATGAATTTTTTAATTTAGCGTTTAAAGATTTTCTTTAAATGAATTTTTATGATTATTATACCAAAAGATTTAAGCTTAATTAATTGATTAACAAAACACTTGTGGAAAACCTCCTATATTTTCTAAAGGAATATATAGTTATGCAGTGATCTAGTGGGTTGTTTTTACTTTTTTTTTTGCTTTTCCCACAGAGCTCCAAAGTGACACCATAGCTTTGGCAAACACCTAAGAGATTTGAAGAGTATACCGAGGCCTCAGTTATTAATTCTTTAATTAAGGCCCAAGAATGTCATTGCTTACTTCTAAATGTTACCTTACACCCTAAAATGAATTCATGTACAGAAAGAGTAAAAGAAATCATGTATTAGGTTTCATGGAAATTAACCTTTGGATGTGTGTATCTTAAAGTTACCTAATAATATACCAGATAAAAATGAAGTCACTGATGCCTTAAACGTGATCATCGGTTGGCCTTTCATGTTAGCAGATAAAGCCCTAGTGCCACGTTGGTTTCCATCAGAAGGCGTTGTACAGTGGGGAAATGATGAGGACTCCGTGAGCGTTTTCTCACAGTGACACGTTATTTGACACGTGACAGTCCATTATTCCCTGTCGCCTCCTAATTGTTCTTCATTAGCAGCATTTAAAGAAATATTGTTTAAAATGTATCTCATGTTTATTTAAGAGACCCTAAAGAACTCTTCCATCTGATAACATTCCTAGATAAGGTCAGTCATTTTCCCTGATTTTCCATTTCCACGTAGCAGATACCGTAGCCCCTAACATAGGTTCCCCCCGCTATCAGAATGCAGAGCGTTTCTGTGAAACCTCATATGCTGTGATGCTGTAAGTCGAAGAAGCAGTTACTGTTAATTTATCTGTCTTTACTTCGTTCACCACAATCAAAATGCTTAATTACACCCAGTTTTACACTAAACGACAACCTTTGAGTTGTCTTAGGCTTTTCCGATACCACAGGACACAGTCTGGCTAACAGATGCACAGAGTAAATCAGGACAAAGCACAAAGGCGCACAGGCACGGTTCACAGCTCACAGGCACGGTGGTGGCTTGAGGCCGAGATGCCGAGTGCGGTGCCCAGGCCGGGAGGTCGGCTCGGCCACTCTTGCTGCTTAGGGCGTGAGCTGCCTCTGTAATGCCTGCTGCAAATCAGGCGCTGGACGCTATTTTCGCGTTTCACCTTTTCTAGTAGAAGCGAACTTCCGAAAAGTGGGGGATACCTGTATATGGGCACATTATGAAGCTGAAGCTGTAATATATAAATATTTTCTGGTGACAGATCCCACCAGACTTATTCAGCAAACTTCCAAGGATAATGCTTTTATTGCTATATTTCTGTGAGATAAGAAAGAAAATAAGTATTTAACCATAACTGTCCAAAAGAGACAAAATTTCCGATCAGTACATAATTGATTTTGTAATAGTATTTAGTTTTGTTCACATAGTACAGACCTCTTAAGATTTTCTTTTCTCTGTGCTCTCTGAGGGTCCCTGGGGGTTCTTAAAAAGAATCGAGGAACAAAGGACGATAAAAGCAGGAATAAGGGAAATGCCCGCTAAATGGTTCTAGCTCTGGTAGGGACACATGTAGCACGATGAAAGAGTTTGTATTTCCAGAATAATTCTTTATTTTCTAAATCAGCTGAGTTGCATCTCCATTAGGTACACGTAAACGTGATTCATGAGCTAGGTGTGTAGTGTCTGACCTCAGTGGCCAGCATTAACATCCTAGATTGACTCGAATAATCCACATCTACCACAAAAAGCTTCATAAGCTGCCACAGTTCAGTACGAATCAGCCAATCTAGAACTGCTTACTTGGATCAGACAGAGGCCACAGATGTGTGCCCAAAGTGTTAAAATCAGCATAGAGAACTTGATTTAAATATTAACTAATAACTCTGTGGTTGTGTGTTTTGTTTGTGTGTTTTGTTGGTTTGTTTCTGGTAGCTCATCAGAGTTGTAACAAGCTCAATTAAAGTACAAGGAATCCTGTCATATGCCTGTGTCATACTCTTCTATTTTGGGTAAGATGAACTATTCTTGACTATGTTTTGGGTTATACGGTAGAGCATAAATGCAAGATGTAATGGGCATTAATAGCAGCCACGTCCCACCGCACCGCTCAGGCTGTCCCTGGGGCCCCCTCGTCAGCCTCCTCCAAGCGTGTGCGTGACTCAGCTCAGCTCCGTCCAGTTAAGCACTCCGCTCTGCGGTGCTGTCAATCGCACCTTAGATTTTATTTTAATCTTTAGTGAAATTGTTTACTTCAAGCCCTTTTTTGCTTAGGATTAAAGCTTCACCTATATTTTCTTTTATAAAATAAGATCTGCCATTACGTTCAGATAATTTCCTGTGTTCAGAAGCTTCTGAATTGCTACTGTGTCGGCACATTGACGATTAGCATACAGCAGGCCCGTGACATACAACCCGCAGAAGACGTAGAAATGGAGAGCTCTGCCTGTGGCTGCCGAACTTCTATCTGCACCTTTGTTGGTCTCATGAAGCTTAGTCTCTGGTCGGGGGAGAGAAATGGTCAGAAAATAACTATAAAATGGTGATTTTGCTGTTGTTAGTTTGCTTAAGAAGTGAATTTATGATAAAGTAGCCCAGCCCAGCTTTAGATGTATTTACTTAAAAAGAAAAAAGGGACCCTGTCCCCACCCTGGCTTCAGTCGTGCCTGAGGGGTTAGGCCTGGAGCGAGGTCTGTGCGATGCCAGGACTGGGTATCTCCAGAGCAGGGACGTGGGGAGAGCGTAAACGTGGCGGTAGTAACTTCGGCTGTGGAGTCACGCGGCACCTCCCCCTAGACATCAGAGACGCCTGTGTTCACCCGCTTTCCCATTTTGAGTATGTTCCCTGCATTGCTCTCTGCCTGTTGCCTGGCACGTGACAGGTTCTCCGGAAGTTTCTGTGGCAGGAACAGTCACTCCTGCTTGTCGGCACCGAGCACCGTGAGTCGGGAGTACGCTTCCCACGCCTTCCGTGCCGAGTTCAGGTGCTGCAGCTAATTTCAGCCTCCTCAGTGGGCACGGCCCAGAGCCAGGGGCCGCTCCGGTGCCGGTCTAGGGACCAGCCGAAAAGGAGACAAGTACCTGCCTTGTGTCACTCAAATTCTAATGGGAAAACAGACAATAACCAGAAAAGCAAATCACTAGAACGTGACAGTTGGTAGGAAGCGTCAGGTGTAGGGAGACAGAGTGACGGAAGCGGTGGCCTCAGAGCGGGCGGCAGGGCCTCTCTGGCGAGCTGACACTTCAGTGGAGACGGCACGGAGCAAGGGAGAAAGCCATGCAGGTGCCTGGGCAGAGAGCGGGCTCGGCAGGGGGCCCGGGACAGGCCCGATGCGAGGACCGGTGGGGCATCGGGGCGGCTGGAGCACAGAGGTCCAGGTGGAGTGTGTGGGAGGGGACCTGGCTGTGGGGGCTGGGGGGCCAGGCTCCAGCCCAGAGGGAAGGTGAACCCCCGGAAGGTTCCGAGCAGAAGAAAGCTAGATCCTCTGGCTCCCTGCCAGGCCCACCCTGGCTGCTGTGCAGAGAATGGACTGGAGTGTGGCGAGCAGAGCAGCAAAAGCCAGGCCTGGAAGTGTCACGGCCATTGCAGGCAAGGTGACTGTGGCTGGAATCGGAGGGGCAGCAGCGGGCGGTGAGGAGTTGTCAGCCGGGTGTAAGTTTTGAAAGTGGAGCTGGACAGGGCGCGCTCGCTGATGCATCGATTGGACGTGAGGGGTGAGGAATGAGAAGAATCACAGAGTTCGGGGCTCAGCAGTTGGGGTAATGGGGCGCCACGTGCTGAGCCGAGGGAGCCCGTGAGATATACTCATGGGTTTTGTTTTGATTTGTGGAGGGTTGCGGTTGGAATCAGGGTCCTGGTTTGGATCTAGGAAGTGTAAAATCCCAGTAGACATCCCCTGGGCCTGCCAGGAAGCGGAAGGTGTGAGTCAGGCGTTTCCGGCTGGGGGCCGAGTGGGGGGCAGAGTGCGGGGCATAGTAGGGGGCGTGTGTGCCGGTGGCAGGGCCCCAGTTCTGCACTGCTGGGAGTGAAGAGCCTGGGGCAGTGACCGCGGCCTGCCAGGCCCCTCCTCACCTTGCCCCCTCTGACCTGTAATGTTATTGCCAGGATTTCATCTCAGAGTTGAGACAGCACCCTCTGCTGCTTCACTCACCGAAAAACCGGCAGGGAGGTCCTTGGTACCGTGTCATTTAAGGGCCCCATTGTGAAGAGATTCCAATGTGAAGGTTTGGGGTTTTTTTCCCCCAGAGTTTTCAACAGATTTGTGTCAAATACCTAAAAGTGTTATGTACCTTTGGGCCTGGAAATCCCCCTTCTGAAATTGTAACTACCTAGAAATTCTTTTAAGGAAATACAGATTTAATATAAGTTTTCCTAATCAGAAATTTTTAAATTAAAAAAATATTCAAAATAATCTATTCAAAAACTAAGGGCTTTGGGGGGCTTTGTTTTATGATAACCCATACAGTGAAATATTATAGGTTTATTAAAATAATGTCACTGAAGAATGTTAACTGATGGGAAAAAATATTTGTGATATATTGTTTTTTAAAACAACAGTGATGATGATAAAATAACAGAATTGGGTGACATTTCTGTGCACTGAGCACCGTTCTGAGCACCTTACCAGAATCTTCTCCTGTATTGATTGACAGGTTAAGAAACTCACTCAGGTCCACATAGCTTCTGAGCAGTGGAGTCAGAGTTTGAACTCACACACTTGGCCCCCCGAGTCTGTGCCCTGGCTCAGAACTCCAGTCCCTTATTGCCTTGTAAACGAGACCCCATTCAGAACAGCAGAAGACAGATGGGTGTGTGCTCACGGCCGGACGGCCGAAGGCAACACGCCGGGTGTGCTCGTGATGAGCAGCCGGCTGTGGAATCACACGTTATTTTATGTCTTTGTTCATCTGCATTTACTAAATATGTTTGTTTTGTCATAAGAGAATAAATGTTAAATAATTTGGAAGGTAAAACTTCTACGTGGTAGAAGAAGAAAATAAATGTTAACTAGTTAGAAGATATAACTTTTAAATGGTATAAGTTCTTATAGTGAGAACTAAGAAATTTATCACAGATTTCCCGGCACCATAAAGAAGCCTCAGGAAAGTCAGGCTTTGCCTTTGTGTCTGAGGCCCCGGCCCTGGCCCCGGACCCACCTCCCTTCACCACGCCCCGCCCCTCCGGGTACAGGTGGCCTGTTCCTGACTGAGGTGAGCCCCAGCAGAGGCTGGCTGTCTCCTTCTGGTTTCAGGTTGATATCCCTGAAAGTGCTTAACAGCGTCGTGCTGCTGGGAAAGTCGTGCCAGTACGTGAGGGGGGCCAAGATGGAGGAGAAGCTGTTCGACCCGCCCCCCAGCAGCGCGCCCGGCAAGCCGTCCAGCAAGTCGCAGAGCAAACGCAAACCCTCCCAAGGTAGGTTGGGGTCTTCCCAGCGCTTCTCGGCTTCATTCTCTGAAGAGTCAGTTGACTGACTCCCTAGTGAAAGAAAATCGGTTGCGTCAGTGTTTAGCAGATACTTTCAAGATTTGATTTCACTTCGCTTAGTTGTTATTTCTAATGTTTCTGTTCAGATCTAATGCGGTTTTTACATTCATTCATTGTTCAATAGATGATCAGTGAGCACCTGTCACGTGGGGATAGACAGTGAAAAAAGGCAGAGCTTATTCTAGGTTGTCAGGGAGAGAGGAAGAAAGCCAGTCCTGAACGTGCGTGTGTCGGGTGGCAGCGAGCGAGTGCTGCGGAGGGGACCAGAGCGGGCTGCGGGAAGGGAAGCCAGGGACGAGCAGCCAGCACCTCCCTGGGAGGGGCGTCCCAGGCAGAGTGGCGCGTGGGGGGACAGCAGGGACCGGGGAGGCCCAAACTGAATCTAGGAGGCTGCAAAAAGGTGGGATCAGAAGATGGGTGGAGAGGGCACCTCAGGGAAGGGACCAGCACGAGCCAAGCCCCAGAGGCCTGAGGAAGCGTTCAGAGAACTGGCAGCTCCGTGCTCCAGGAGTGGGGCTGGCTCTGGCGAGGGCCAGGGGAGGAGACCAGCTGGCCGGAGCCGTCCGAAGGGAGGGCACGCTCAGGGGAAAGGGAAATAAAAACTCGCGTCATCACTGGAAGTGTTTTTGCATTATAGAGAACACGTAGGTACTGTTGCTGACGGTCCAGCTAACTGGAAGTTGGCACTGGGTCCCTACGTATCCTGAATGCTAGGCTCCTTCAGAGCGTTAAGAAAGTAATAAGCGTCAGACTTGCTCGCAGGGGCCTCCAGGCTAATGGGAGATTAACCTTTAGGACACTGCATCTCAGGGCCGCCGGCTCCCGAGCCTCGTCTAAGAAGTGCACTTCAGATGAGCGAGTGTGTATTGGGGTCTTGGGGGTCAGGGGACCACATGCCAGAAGCCATTCAGGAAGGTATGTCAAGTCAGGCAGCTCAGGCCCAATCGGAGGACGAAAAGAGGGACTGACTCTCAAGACAGCGTCACGTCCATTGTGTTTGAAAAGCAGCCGAAGACAGAAGCCGGGTCAGGGCAGCAGGGCGGCAGGAGGGAGGGGTCGCCAAGGACGGCGAGCGCGCCGTCGCCTCCATCGTGGGAACGGTTTTGGCAGCCGTGTACGTGCGTCAGCACGCATCAGATCGCTCATTTTACGCGTGCACGGTCTGCGGTGCGTCCTTTTTCCCTCACTGATGCTGCTCCTCCAAGGACCGAGTGTCTGATTCAGGGTCCGGTGGGTCCAGGCCCCAGCCCAGCTGTCCCCTAGGCCGGGCTTCAGGACCCCAGTGGCCCAGAGTGAACGTTCGGGTTTTGTTTGTTGGTTTGTGTTTACCTCGGTTTTGAGCGCTCAGTCTGGCTGAAGTGACCACACATAACAGCGACTCCACGCGTTAGCGTCCACCAGCCCTGAGCTCTGACGGTGGGAGCTCCCGTCAGTACTTCCGGTCTGGCAGTCGCCATATAGGACTTCGTCGTGTGGGAGGGGGTTTGCCCTTAGGAGTTCTGATGGTTCCAAAATTGGGTGATGGCGTTACTTGTGTGATGTGGTCCACGTCATAGCCCTGCTATGAAAGTTTTGATTAAACAAATGGCATCACCTCTGAGTTTCATTATACGTTACGGCTGCTTTTACAGCGTGCTTCACCGTTGTCATTTACACTTTCTTCCAGTATCACTTTGTTGGTGAGCTCGTATTTATTATAAATTGGGAGGAAATCCTTTTCTAATTAAAGGATCTATTTTTCCACAGAAGAAAACCTGTCTGCCTCAGTTACCAGCCAGCCTGTCCATCAGAAGGAAAACGTCATACCCTTACTCGTGACGAGCAATTCCGATCAGTTTTTGACAACTCCAGATGGTGATGAGAAGGACATAACGCAAGAAAACTCTGAATTAAAACACAGATCCTCAAAGAAAGATTTGTTGGAGATAGACAGGTTCACAATCTGCGGAAACCGGATTGACTGAATTCTGAGGCTCCCTGTGCTGAGCGCCGAGGCCTGGGGCAGCCAGGCTGTGCTACCGGGACAGACAGATGCTAAAAGTGGCACTTAAATATTTATTTAAAAACTTAAATTATTAACGGAAAGCAAATCTTAATATCTTTCTTCCAGTAACGTGGTCTGGCTGAAGGTCAGGTCACGGGACAGCAGCGACCTCCGGCCTTGACTGTCTGGGAATTTCCTTCTGCTCGGAGAAGCAGCGGTCACTTCCGGGCCTGACGGGGACAACCTCAGAATCACTTTTGCTCTGTCAGTTCGTGCTTCCAGAACATCGATTTCTGCCTCAAGGTCTCTTGGGTATGAGGATACATACCTGGAAAACTGTGAAGCTTCTACCATGACTTTACCTTCCTGTCTCATACTGTTTTCACAAACAGTTTTCATACTCTACTTCATCTGCCAAAGCGTTAAAAAAAAATAATTACACTTAAGTCAAGATAAATGTTCTTACCACCAGAATTATCCTTGAAGATGTATCTGAATTAATCAGAATAAAAGGCTACCTTAAATAAACGATGAGTAATAGTAGCATTTTATAGAAAAAGAAACGCCCTAAGCCAGTTTGTCTATTTAAAAAATATTAATTAATGAAGGTTATGCATCCTTAAGAAAATGTTTCATAATTTTCCAGTTTACTCTTTTAAAGTAAAATGTAAGCTGTGTATTGTTTAATTGCAGTGGATAAAGTAAAAATTTCCTGGCAAAAAGGTACTTTTTATACCGAAAAAGCAGAGCAGTGTTAACTTTAATGTATAGTTAACTGGTTTTACTGTAAAACTAATGGCTTCAGAAATTGTTACAGTTAAAAGGATTTGGTGTTGAATAGGCTGAAGAATTGTCAGTGTACAAAATTCAAAGATGTCGTCTGTAACTAGGCTTTTAAGTAACGATTTTAAAGTGAAAATTCTGAGTGGCTTGGGCAGCATCATCTTGCTTGGGCAGCATCATCTTGCTTGGGCTTATAAAACGCATTATCTTTCTGTCTGGAGTGCCAGGGGGTGTGCCCGTGCCCGGGGCAGGGTCTGTGTCCTGTGGGAGAGTGCCTGTGTGGGGAGGTGTGACTGTCAGGTGTACCTGAGCTGGGGGCGCAGAGAGAAAGTAAACGGAGTGTGTGTGGCGTGTCGCTGGCTGTCTGGGCATGGGAAGGCGTTTGCGTATGGATGTTGGGAACAGCCGTTAAAAGGTGCTTTTTGGTTTCGTTTGAGATCAAGATTCTGTTTCGTCTTAATTACTAGTTTGTGGCCTGTATCATAGGACAGGTTATTTTCCACCACATTTTATCTTGAGAAACCTTTCTGCATTTTTATAAAAATTTTACAACATCTAATTTCAGAGTGTCCAGATGTCACTGGTAACTGTTATTTCTTTTGATGTTTTCATTTTAAAGCTCAGCTCCTGTCCTGATATTGCGGGCATATGACATGCAGAGGTACATTTTAGGGGATTTGTCTATTTCCTCGGTGAAACAAAAGCAAGCTATAATGCACTGGCTGTTTATTTGAACTACGAAAGTGAATTTTAATGTTTCGCATTGACTAAAGGAATCTGAAAATTAATGTTCACATAGGACAAAAGATGAAACTGTATTACAAAAATGCGCTTGTAAGACCGTGAAGTATCTTAAGTTAAAAATGAAAAGACTTAATTGCTTCGTGTATGTTTCGATGAAGCCCCATTTTAGAATTTTTTTTTTTTTTACATCTTCTCCACCGAAAGAACAGTGTCCACGGTGAATGGGGATAGTT